AGAAAACTAATTAAGATGGTAATATTTATGTAATGTTGGGTTTTTTTGTTTTGTTTTGGGGTTTTTGGCCGTGCCGCTCGGTATGTGGGATCTTAGTTCCCCGACCAGAGGCTGAACCCGCGTACCCTGTGGTGGAAGCACAGAGTTTTAAACACTGGACTGCCAGGGAAGTCCATATGTTATGTTTTTAGCACAATGTAAAAACATTTCTGGGGGTTGCTTTTTTTTTTAAGTTTATTTATTTATTTTTGGCTGTGTTGGGTCTTCATTGCTGCACGCAGGCTTTCTCTAATTGCAGTGAATGGGGGCTACTCTTCATTGCGGTGCGTGGGCTTCTCATTGTGGTGGCTTCTCTTGTTGCGGAGCATGGGCTCTAGGTGTGTGGGCTTCAGTAGTTGTGGCACACGGGCTCAGTAGTTGTGGCTCGCGGGCTCTAGAGCACAGGGTCAGTAGTTATGGAGCACGGGCTTAGTAACTCCGCGGCATGTGGGATCTTCCAGGACCAGGGCTCAAATCTGTGTCCCCTGCACTGGCAGGCGGATTCTTAACCACTGCGCCACCAGGGAAGAAGTTCCTTGGGGTTGCTTTGTAGCAATCATTGTAATTTTTTAAAGTTCTATAACTCAAAAAGAAAAGAAGCATTTACCCTTTGTGTATGTGTATTTTGGAGGCACATAATTCATTCCCAGTTGATGAAGGAAACCTCTATTTTTTTTTTTTGCGGTACGTGGCCCTCTCACTGCTGTGGCCTCTCCTGCTGTGGAGCACAGGCTCCGGACGTGCAGGCTCAGTGGCCATGGCTCACGGGCCCAGCCGCTCCACGGCATGTGGGATCTTCCCGGACCAGGGCACGAACCCGTGTCCCCTGCATCGGCAGGCGGACTCTCAACCACTGCGCCACCAGGGAAGCCTTTTTTTTTTTTTTAATTAGAAGGATACCTTCTATTAAACGTAGAAATGGCATATCACTACTCTTCAACCCCCGAAGAATAATTGATTCAAGCAAGGATCAACAATGGATGCTAAAACCCATTCAGTTGAAAGTTTGTTGGGAAACGGGCAGGGTGACAAAACATCATTACCCCCTCTTAATTTTTTTTTTTTTTTTTTTTTTTGCGGTACGCGGGCCTCTCACTGCTGTGGCCTCTCCTGCTGTGGAGCACAGGCTCCGGACGCACAGGCTCAGCGGCCATGGCTTACGGGCCCAGCTGCTCCGTGGCATGTGGGATCTTCCCGGACCGAGGCACGAACCCGTGTCCCCTGCATCAGCAGGCAGACTCTCAACCACTGCGCCACCAGGGAAGCCCTCTTAATTACTTCTTAATCATAAAGTGAAAATGTATTTTTACAGTGGAGAGAGATGGTGGTCACTTCCTCAATCATCGCTAACAGGGGGCAGCTGACATCACACGCCACCAATGAAACACAGCACCACCTCTGACCATCCTTTTTAAACAAAAAAGTTTAAACTGAATCTAATCAGGCTTTTAGACTTAACTTCCAGTTTACAGGAGGCTAAAAAATCAAGTCCAGGACTTCCCTGGTGGCACAGTGGTTGAGAGTCCGCCTGCCGATGCAGGGGACATGGGTTCGTGCCCCGGTCCGGGAAGATCCCACATGCTGCAGAGCAATTAAGCCCGTGCGCCACAGCTACTGAGCCTGTGCTCTAGAGCCTGCGAGCCACAACTAGTGAAGCCCGCGTACCTAGAGCCCGTGCTCCGCAACAAAAGAAGCCACCACAATGAGAAGCCCACGCACCGCAATGAAGAGTAGCGCCCGCTCGCCGCAACTAGAGAAAGCCCGCGCGCAGCAATGAAGACTCAACGCAGCCAAAAAAATGAATTATTAATTTTTAAAAAACAAAAATAAAAGGTCAGTTTTTTGGGGGGTGGGTGGGTCAGGGAAAGGCTGTTTTAGGAGTAAGAAAGATAAAACAATCAGATGTAGTGAGGGTTGATACAAGGTCTCTAGACGGGTCACCAAACTGTTCTGGTCACACATCCACTGTCTATTTATCATTTAAGTTGTTTGTTTATAGAAATGGGTACCACTCTGCCAATAAGTGATGTACATTGTCAAGCAAAAAATAGTGGATCATGTGGCATATCCCTGGAGAATATGCAGCCCGCTTTGGAGGTCCATGGTTTAAACTGAGCTCCGTGAAGCAAGCAGGTGGTGTGTATCATTCCTCTGGGGATCCCCAGCACCTGGCATAAGAGCTCATTAAATGCTTGTTAAATGAATAAATGATTGAACTAATGAGGGAGCAAGTCTGGCCTGCCAGAGGCCACAGGATGAGACAGGCAGGTAGGAGCTGCAGTCTGAGGTTCTTGGGCTTCTCCATCCTGTTCCAGGAACCTCAGCTATTTGGCAAAGCCTGCAGAAGGAAACTCCACTACATACCGGGCTCACTCTGGCCCTAAGGCTGCAGAATGAGACAATGGGTTTTTTTGTTTTATTTTTTTATAAAATTAATATGTAGTACAATGCTCCTTAACCCTTTGGGGGCCAGTACCTATTTGGGAATTCAGTGTAAGGGAAGGATCCTCTTGCCAGCAAATCCACATTCCGATGTCAGATACACCTTGAGTTTTGCACATGATCTCAAATGGTTCATGGACCCCCAAGGTCCACACACAGTTTCCAGGTAATGAAACTCCAGACTCAAAGAAACCTGAAGAAACTCACAGCTTGGACTTCCCCGGTTGTGCAGTGGTTAAGAATACACCTGCCGGGGCTTCCCTGGTGGTGCAGTGGTTGGGTGTCTGCCTGCTAATGCAGGGGACACGGGTTCGAGCCCTGGTCTGGGAAGATCCCACATGCCGCGGAGCAACTAGGCCCGTGAGCCACAACTACTGAGCCTGTGCGTCTGGAGCCTGTGCTCCGCAATAAGAGAGGCCGCGATAGTGAGAGGCCCGCGCACCACGATGAAGAGTGGCCCCCGCTTGCCACAACTAGAGAAAGCCCTCGCACAGAAACAAAGACCCAACACAGCAAAAATAAATAAATTAATAAACTCCTACCCCCAACATCTTAAAAAAATAAAGAATCCGCCTGCCAATGCAGGGGACACAGGTTTGATCCCTGGTCCGGGAAGATCCCACATGCCGCAGAGCAAGTAAGCCCGTGCGCCACAACTACTGAGCCTGTGCTCTAGAGCCTGCGAGCCACAACTACTGAAGTCCGTGTGCCACAACTACAGAAGCCCACGTGCCTAGAGCCCGTGCTCTGCAACAAGAGAAGCCACTGCAATAAGCCCAAGCACTGCAACAAAGATTAGCCCCTGCTCGCCGCAACTAGAGAAAGCCCACATGTAGCAACAAAGGCTCAACGCAGCCAAAAATAAATCAATTATTTTTTAAAAGGAAGAAAGAAAGAAACTCACAGCTTCTCTTCTATGGGCCTCCCAGGGGTGCATGTCGCATCTCAGCAGATACCAGACTTCAGCCGCCCTAGTCATTTTTTTTTTTAATTAAAAAAAATTTTTTTTAACTTTTCATTTTTTGGCCACACCACACGGGCACGTGGGATCTTAGTTCCCCGACCAGGGATCGAACCCCCAGCATTTGAAGCTTGGAGTCTTAATTACTGGACTGCCAGGGAAGTCTCCCTAGTCATTTTTAAAAGGGTCTGGAATGAGGAGAGGAAGGGGCTTCTGAGCCCAGTGGGGTCTGTGGCATTGCTGCCTCTGGGCCAGGGTCTCCTTCTCTAGGAGGCTGTGTCAGCCGCCCCCCACAGTGGGGTGCATATCCCCTACCCCAGCCTTCTAATGGGTGGTGTCACAGGCTGCTCTCTGAGCCCGTATTCTCCAGCCTGCTGGAGTAACTCAGGTCCATAGGGCACGACCTGGGTACCCCAACCAAACTGGGGCTCCTGCCACAGAGCTCCCGAATCCAGGAGGCAGCCTCTCTGAGCTCCTGGCCCGTGCAGAGCAGATCTCAGATGACTGGGCAAGGTGGTCGAGTGGTGTCTGTGGCTCGCCCAGTTGCAGTGAGCACTTGGTGTCCACAGCTCGTCCACATCCAGTCCCAGCTGCTCCCATGGTCACTCAGAGTTGGTGGTGTGTACGTCTGTTTACAGAGGAGAATGCTGAGGCTCAGGGAGGGGATGTGGCAATCCCATTTGGGTCAGCCACACGTTTATTGAGCACCTGCTACGTGCTAGGCACTGAGGTAGGTGCTGGGGATCAAAAGATGTGCTAGACTGTGTCTGTCCTTGGGGTTCACAGTCCAACGGGGAAGAGACCCCTAAACAGATCATTTCAAATCAATGTGGCAAATTACATGAAAAAAAACATGCCCCAGGGGTACGCATGACATAATCCAGCGTGCTAGGAGGTCAAGGAGGCTCCCTGGAGCATGCGACATCAGCACAATGCCTTCAAGGATAAGGAGGATAAACCAGGCTGGGGTGGGGGTGGGAGGATCCCAAGCAAAGGGACCAGCCTGGTGCAAAACAGCCCCAGGTTGCAAAAAGCATGCTGGCTTGAAGCTGCTTGGTGGCTGGTGGGGGGCTGCCAGCAATCGGGTTTTGTCCAGCATTGTTGGCAGGTGGGGCCAGAGAAATACACCCAGTTGAGGTCAGGGAGCAACTTGAGAGGGTCCAGCTCGAACACACTTAACGAGCAGCACTTGAAAGAGGATTGGAGGGGTTAGACTTGTGAACCAGCTTGTCAAGAACAGCTGTAACGATTCGAGTGCCTACTCCACGTCAGGTGGGTGCTGCATCTTGATGGGTATTATTGACACTTTAAGAAGGTTCAATTAGCTTGCCTGAAGACACTCAGGGAACCAGTCCTTGCTCAGATCTCCCTCTGGGCACACGTGCGTGCGTTGGAGAGTGGGGGGAAGGCCGAGAAGACCCGGTGAATGGCTGACCTGGCTTGGGGCAGCCCCGGGGCCCATCCTTCGCGCTGGCGCAGGGAGGAGCGAAGCGGTGCGCGCACTCGATCGCCGCCGGGCTGTGTGTCTGCGGCTCTAACTAGATGGCTCCCAAGGGCAGTGGGGATGGTTCACAGTCTGGAGGAGAGAGGGCGGCAGTCCGAGAAGGGGGCTAAGAGGCCACCCCCAGCCCGGGGCAGCCCAGCACCCGAGTCTGCAGCCTCGGGTGGGGAGGGGAGGTGCCGCTCCCGGGGCCGGAGAGAAGGGGGTGGCTCCCCCCCGCCCCCGCCGCGGTGGGTCGGGGCGCGGGGCCGGGCTGCGCGGGAGCCGCAGCCTTTTCCGGGGGGCGGTCCGGAGGCGTTAGCGCACGGCTCCTGCCCCGACAGGTGCGCGCCGCGCGCAGGAATGCGGTCTGCCTGACTCATCCGCTCCTCCTTCCTACCTGCCGCCCAGCCCATAAAGCGGTCCCCTCCCCGCCGCCGCCCGCCCTCCCTGCAGCCCGCCCTCTGGACAGTCCCGGCTCGCCCGCGCGCCGCCTCCGGAGCCGCCGAGCGGAGCCCAGCGCGGGGAGGGCGCGAGTCAGCCCCAAGGTAGGTCCATCCTCGGACCGCGGCAGGCGGCCGGGGCACTGGCGCGGGGCGGCCGCACACCGCACGCCCCTCCAGCGCCTCGGGCCGCCGGGGCTGGGCGCTCATTCAGGGACCTCCGAGGGGAGAAGAAGAAAGTGAGCGCGCACCCCAACTGGGAAGACCCGCGGGGAGCTGATTGGTGGGCCGGGTGGCTTTTGTTTCCCCGGCTCTTTCCTTCCTGAAGGCTGGCCGCCCGGCCCTTGGGTGGATATGAGGGAGAAGTGGGCAGGGGCCAGGCAGTGGCTGGCAGGCTTACTGGGCTGGGCCCCTCTGGGGTTCAAAAAGAAGCAGCCACCTAGAGGCAGAGGCCCTCCCGGCTTGGCTGTGTGGTGCCACAGTCCGTCTGGGGTCTGGGGAGTCCCTGACTCTCCTCTTCTCTTGGCCCTCCTCCCAAAGTCAGCTCAGGACACCCTTCCTCCAGGAAGCTCTCCTGACCTCATCCAACACCCCTGGAGGCTGTGCCCACCACTGTAAACTCCTCCAGAGCCAGCCCCCTTTCCCACCCCTTTAGCCCCGGGTGGGCCTCTGGTTGTAGGCGGGGGGGGGGGGGGGGGGGGGTTGGGGGTTGGGGTGCTCTAGATGGCTCCCAGAGGGCAGCGGCAGGGCTCCTGCTTCTCCCCCATGGTCTTGCCACACCCTGAGCCCAAGTGTGGGCATGGTTGTTGCTGCCTCGGAAGGAGCTGGAAGTGAAGACTAAGGGGCTCCATCCTGGGAGCTGAGTGGGGAGAGGAGAGCCGGAAGGACAGCAGGGAAGGAGTGCCTATCTCCTTGGCCTTGATTTCTGTGGGCAATATGGCAGCAGAAGGGCCAGGAAAGCAGGAAGGGAGAGAACCACGGAGGGCAGGTGCAGACATGCAACAGGGGTCCCGTGGGTGGGAGGGAGGGCGGGTATGGGGAGAGCGCTGAGCCTACGTTCATGTGGGTCACAGTGTGTGTCCAAGAATATGCATGTCCCTGTGCCTGCAAGGCCTGAGTGTGCCACTATGTGATAACACTGGGTGGCAATCACATACTTCCGGGACCCGGGTGGTACATAAAAAGACCCTTGCAGCCTGGGGACCCAGAATAGCCTGGAGAGAACGTTTCCCGAGGGCTCTGCCCAGCCCGCCACGGCCAGCCACCTCTTCCAATAAGCCCACAATCCTAACTTTTATGTGAAACCTTATTATTTTTAACACCGACAACTACTTTTAAAACTTTTTAGGGATTTTCCTTGGTGGTCCAGTGGTTAGGAATCCACGCTTTCACTGCCGGGGCCCGGGTTCAGTCGCTGGTTGGGGAACTAAGATCCCACAAGCTGTGCAGGGAGGCCAAAAAAAACAAAAAACTTTTTAAACACAAGTTGAGTCAAACACAACACTCCTGAGTGCGTAACTAGTCCCCAGCTGCCACTTTAGAGCCTCCGAGTATAAAGTGAAGGCTAAATGGGGGGTGTGCGCTGCCCGGGTCTCACCCGGGATATGGGGACAATGCAATCATCCCCACTGGTTCCTGTACAGATTAAATGGCAATTATGTACATGAAGTGCTGGGCACTAGCCCACTGTGTGCCCAGCCTGGGGGCACAGGAGGGTGAGTAAAAGCTGGGCTGGGCCCTCCAGTGTCTGTACCTGTGTATGTAATGGTGCCCCTGGGAAGCCTGGGTAAGGCAGCCTATATTGTGTAGTGTGTGGGTGTGGTGCCTATGCCCCAAGGCTGCAGGAAATTCATTTCCTCCAAGAAGCACCCCCTTGGCTGGCTCAGAGCTCCCTTACCCCAGGCCCCTCTTAGAGGGTGGCTCCTTCCCAGCAGGCTCTGCCTGCGATGTGTTGGAGCTGCTAGTGCCTCCTGGGAGCCACCTGCCTTGGAGCGACGGAGGCAATGCCTTCCTGCAACGCCCCCCCGCCCCCGGGTCTCCCCAGCCATTTGGGGGCCTCAGTCTCCCAGAGCCTGGGGCTGCCCCTGCCCCACAAGCCAAGGACTGAGCAAAGATCCAAGGAGGGAGGGCCAGTAGGCATGGCATAATCTTGGGCTGCTGGGTGACTCGTTCTAGAGAAAGAGGAGGGGGTCCTAACGTCAACTCTGCAGGCCTGGTGGCTATGGCCAGCCCCTTCTCTTCAGCAGGCTACCCATCTTTTATTTATTTGTTTGCTTTTTTTTTTTTTTTTTTTTGCAGTACCTGGGCCTCTCACTGCTGTGGCCTCTCCCATTGCGGAGCTCAGGCTCCAGACACGCAGCCTCAGCGGCCATGGCTCATGGGCCCAGCCGCTCTGCGGCATGTGGGATCCTCCTGGACCGGGGCACGAACCCGTGTCCCCTGCATCGGCAGGCAGACTCTCAACCACTGCGCCACCAGGGAAGCCCCTAAATTTTTATTGCAGTATAGTTGCTTTATAATGTTGTACTAGTTTCTTGCTGTACATACCCATCTTTTTTTTTCTTTTTTTAAATATTTATTTAGTTGCACCCGGTCTTAGTTGCCACACGTGGGCTCCTTAGTTGAGGCATGCATGTGGAATCTAGTTCCCTGACCAGAGATCGAACCCGGGCCCCCTGCCTTGGGAGTGCAGAGTCTTATCCACTGTGCCACCAGGGAAGTCCCCATACCCATCTTTTAAAAGGCCTCAGGGATGCCGGTGCCTGCCCCGAAGGTCACTAATGAGTTGAGATGGTTTAATGGTGAACCAAAGGCAGATGGGTCTCCTGGGGTGGCTGGCAATGCGTGTGTGTGTGAGCGGGCAGGAGGGGCTTGTAATCTAGCTCCAGGCTAATTTTTGAAAGGGCGATCTGCTCAGGGGCCCCCAAAACTCAACTCTGGGGCAGGCAGAGGTGGGGAGTAGGGTGGAGACCCCTCCTCTGATGGGACAGGCAGCCATTGTAGAACTTAGCTGAGTGCAACAAGCCTCCTCTTTCCTTTCTCAGGCCCCAGATATTGGGAGGGGCCCCCTTCTTCCCGGCTGTACCCTCTCACCAAGAGGCAAGTGGGCCAGGACAGAGAGGGGACAGGAAGGCGGAGCCAGGACCCTCTAGGGTGGCCCTGTCCCTGCCAAGCCTAACCCAGGCCACTGGGGTCTGAAAGGCAAAGGCGGAATAAGCCCTGTTCTGCCCTCGGGGAGATCAGCACAAGAGACCTGGCATTGGGACAGGCTCAGAGCCCAGAGTCCTCAGTGGTGAGAGGGTGGGGGCCTCCCTGGGCAGGGCATAGGCCTGCAGGGCATCTGGCCACTCCAGAGACGACAAGGAAGGGGGCAGTGGAAAAGAGGAGTCAGGGGCCCTGGGCCCTGCCACTTGCAGGCCAGGTGGCCTTGGAACATCACTAAAGTTCTGTAGAGCCTCAGTTTCTACATCTGTGCAATGGGAATGATGGAGCTTAGACAGGGACCCAGTGAGTTGACACGTGGACCAGAGCTGTCAGGCATGGTATGTCGATTGTTGCTGTTATACAGGAGGAAGAGGATGGCAGGGCCGCATCCCAGCTGGTGGACCAGGCTGTTGCTGGCAGCCCTGCTGAGCGCCAGCTTCCCCGGGGACATGGGTGAGTCGGACACACCCCTGCAACACCCGTCTCTGTGGTGGGGGCTCAACTTCCAAGGCACTGCCCTTAAGCGAGGGAGGGGGCTCTCATGGAGTGTCTTACCCAGACACTCACTCAGCCATTCAACAAACAACCACCACCCACTTTGAAGGCTGGGGAGCCATGAGCCTGAGCCGTATGGCCCAAGAACACCCAGGGGAGGAAGGAGACTTGGTCTAGAGGAGGGAGAAGACGTCCACTCAGAGAATGGAGGCGCTCGCAGGATGTACTGAGGCTTGGAAAGCTGAGCTGAAAAGTTTTAGAGGAATTTGGAGGAGAGAAAGGTGATCATTGCCTGCTCTGGGAGCGTCTGCAGTCGGCAAAGGGCTGGAGCCCGCTCCTACTGATGAAATTTTGCCTGTCAGTGGAGGTCATGCTGATAGCTTGAAACAGACCATGGTGGGAACATTTACACCCTGGAAATTGGCAAAGGCTGCAAGTCAGGGCTTCCCCGCCCTCACCGGAGCCCTTGCTAAACATTGACAGTGCACCGTTGCCTGGAGCCCAGGGGACCACCCACTAGTGCACATAATAGGTCCTTACTGTGATTTTAACTGAACAAAACCAAAGGGAATCCCAACCTTTGGAGAAATTGGAGTTTTACCTCATTTATTTACTAACAACTCCCTGTGTGCGGGGCTTGGGCTAGGCACTGGGGACGCAGTGATAAACAAGACAGAATCCCTTTTACCCTGGAGGAGCAGGTGAGGGGGGTGGTTAGGGTGTCCCCGCCAGCGCCTCGGTCTCGGCCCCCACCATCCTTGCCTCCAGACTTGAGTGGAGAGTCCAGGTTTGAGATCTGGCTCTGCGGGTTTCTAGCTGTGCTACCTGGGACTGACCACGTACCTGCTGGCCTCCATTTCCCGCTCTGTAAATCGGGAGAGAATCCCCACCTCTTTCAAATGAGGTTGCACAAGGGAAGGGCTTGGCAGTGGGTGAGGCGCATCTCAGGGGGCACGCCCATCTCTGCTCCCCAGCGAACCGCTGCAAGAAGGCCCAGGTGAAGAGCTGCACGGAGTGCATCCGCGTGGACAGGGACTGCGCCTACTGCACGGACGAGGTGTGATGCCGCTGGGGCCTAGCCTGGGCCACCTTCCCAACCTGCGTGCCCCACCCTGCTACACCCCAGGCCTGGGCTCTGGCCCACACTTGCCCCGCCCTCAGCCCAGCCTCAGGCCAGGCGGTCGTGGGAGAACAGGCAAGGGTCAGGAAGATCGGGGTGGTGGGGTACAGGATAAATCCAGTGTTAGGACAGCCAGGGGAAGGGCACTGCCCTCCTGACTCCATCTCCTTCCGGCCAGATGTTCAAGGAACGGCGCTGCAACACCCAGGCAGAGCTGCTGGCTGCGGGCTGCCGGCAGGAGAGCATGGTGGTCATGGAGAGCAGCTTCGAGATCACAGAGGTGCCCAGAGTGGGGGTCGGGGGGGCTGGGCCCTCCAAGCTCAAGGCTGGCTGTTTGTGGGAGGTTATCGTGTCCCCTGGCTGAGCTGAGAGGTATCTCCATCAGATCTGGAGAGACCCTCCAGCCAGGTGTCCCCCTCCCCTGGACACAGGAAGCGCAGATCGACACCACCCTGCACCGTAGCCAGGTGTCCCCCCAGGGGCTGCGGGTGCGGCTGCGGCCGGGAGAGGAGCAGCGCTTTGAGCTGCAGGTGTTTGAGCCCCTGGAGAGCCCCATGGACCTGTATATCCTCATGGACTTCTCCAACTCCATGTCTGACGATCTGGACAACCTCAAGAAGATGGGGCAGGATCTGGGTACGGCGCGGAAGACAGCAGGGCAGGGCGTGGAGAGAGTGGCCTCCCCCAGCTGGCTGGACACCTGCTCAGGAGGCCAGGGCTCGGGCTAGCTGCACCCACTCCTCAAGGAAGGACAGGACATCTGAGCACCCCAAGAACTCCTTCCCCCCATTCTCAGAGGCGGGTCCTGTGCAGACCCCAATAACCACTCGGGAGTGCAGAGAAGGCCCCAGCCGGGTGGGAACCAGAGCCCTCTGGTCCTTTTTGATTTTTTGGATGTGGTGCGCCTCATGGCTTGCGGGATCTTAGTTCCCCGACCAGGGATTGAACCCGCGCCCCCTGCAGTGGAAGCTCAGAGTCCTAGCTACTGGACTGCCAAGGTAGTCCCTCCTCTGGTGCTGACACGGAGGGCGCCAGCTGCCATGAGGCTGAGGTTAACTCCCAGCTCTGCAGACGGCCGGTCCAGCTCCCTGGCCGCACCCTGCAACTAGCTGCGTGCACAACTCTGGGTCCCCCGAGTCCCATTTCCCTCATCTGTAAATAAGGACAAGGGCTGTCATGTGCGTGAGCGGATGCCCAACATGCAAAGTGTTGACAATAAGTTGTTCTTCCTCTTCCTCCTTCCCAAGCCAGCCCCCGGCCCCTGTGTTGATGTGGGGCTCTTGGGGCTCAGCTGTCCCCTCTTTTTTTGTTGTTGATGCCTAGCCCAGGTCCTGAGGCAGCTCACCAGCGACTACACGATTGGATTTGGCAAGTTCGTGGACAAAGTTAGCGTCCCTCAGACAGACATGAGGCCCGAGAAGTGAGTGACCAAGGGGGCAGGGGTCCTGGCCAGGTGGCCCACGCCCTCTCCACCCAAGCACGTCGAAGTTTTCAGGTTGAAATGAGCCACAGGGGCGGTCCCTAGAGAGGGTGGGCAGGGGGTTGTGGGCGTCTTCTCCCCTGACTTTCTCCCTCCCTGACTCTCTCCTTCCCACCTCCACCCAGGCTGAAGGAGCCCTGGCCCAACAGTGACCCCCCCTTCTCCTTCAAAAACGTCATCAGCCTGACGGAAGACGTGGAGGAGTTCCGGAACAAGCTAAAGGGAGAGCGGATCTCAGGCAACCTGGACGCCCCCGAAGGAGGTTTCGATGCCATCCTGCAGACGGCCGTGTGCACCGTGAGTGCCGGGGCAGGTCCTGCCGGCCTAGACCCGGCTGTGCTTTTCAACAAGGGCATGAGCTGCCCACTGGCCTGCTCTGGTACCAGGCTGGGGCCTCCATCCCCTAAGACAAGCTCAGACCCACTGGGGGACCCTCAATTCCAATCCAAGTTTAGAGGTATCAGGGCCTGAGCAGTCACAGCCTGGTTTTGTGTTGGCCAGTGAGGCGGACATGAGTCTTGGGATTCTGGAATCTTCAGTGCCCTGAGGCCAGCCTCCCACCCAACCTCCCTGTTAATACCCGTCTCCAACTGTGCTGGAAGAGGGCACTTCTTTTTATGTGCACATCAGTTTTTTCATTTAAAGAATAATGTATCCACAGACAAAAAAGAAAATTCCTTGGCAGTCCAGTGGTTAAGGATTCAGCACTTTCACTGCCGGGGGCCCAGGTTCCACCCCTGGTCGGGGAACTAAGGTCTCTCAAGCCACATGGTGTGGCCAAAAAATAAAACAAAATTAAAACATAAGAAATAAAAATGAAAATAATGTACCCATATTACAGACAATTTGGAAAACAAAGAACAGAAATTGCCCCATAATTTCACCACCATCAGACAGCCGGCCACTGATACCCCACCAGCATATTTTGTTCCCTTTTCCTTATTTTATATAGTTGGAATCAGTGTATGTATAGTTCTGAAACTTGCTTTTTTTTTTTTCACCTAATGCTGTCATAAACATTTTCTCTTGTAATACATGGTTTTCAAAATCATCCCATGTATTTCTTTTTTTTTTTTTTGCGGTACGCGGGCCTCTCACTGCTGTGGCCTCTCCCGTTGCGGAGCACAGGCTCCGGACGCGCAGGCTCAGCGGCCATGGCTCACGGGCCCAGCCGCTCCGCGGCATGTGGGATCTTCCCGGACCGGGGCACGAACCTGTGTCCCTTGCATTGGCAGGCGGACTCCCAACCACCGCGCCACCAGGGAAGCCCCGATCCCATGTATTTCTCAAACGAATTGCCACATGCCGCTTGCTGTACCTATTTTAACTCTTCCGTTAAATGCTGCAGGGTGTACATTTTTCTGTGCAATTGAGATATTCTCGCAGAGTGGTTAAGACCTTGTGGGGACAGCTGCATGAACCTGGTTCACATCTTGCGTGGCGCCCACTGTGGGCACAGCCCCTGCTTCTGTTTCCCACTTCCCATCGCTGGTTTCTGTTTATCCCCGTCATCACTCATGTGCTGTCTGTCACGTGCGTCATTCATGGGGTCGTCAGGCTGTTAATCCTGTATCCTCGCTGAGCCCCGTGTCGGGACGTGCTTTCGCTGTCACCGTGCACGACGCTGTGACGAGTGTCCCCTGCTCCACGGGCACCCCTCCTCGCTCTCCCCAGAGGCACATCGGCTGGCGCCCCGACAGCACCCACTTGCTGGTATTCTCTACCGAGTCGGCCTTCCACTACGAGGCGGATGGCGCCAACGTGCTGGCTGGCATCATGAGGCGCAACGACGAGGAGTGCCACCTGGACACCACGGGCACCTACACCCAGTACGGGACACAGGACTACCCGTCGGTGCCCACCTTGGTGCGCCTGCTCGACCGGCACAACATCATCCCCATCTTCGCAGTCACCAACTACTCCTATAGTTACTACGAGGTGCGGGGGCCGGGGCCTCACGGGGCAGGATGGGGGTGGACGGGAGGGTCCGTGGAACTTCTCAGACACCCCCATCTGCCTTCCTCCCTTCCTTCCCGAAACTTGGGATGGGCCCTGGTGGGAAGAGGAGTCCACGTGCCCATTCCCCAGCACCCCCTCCCAAGCAGGTGGGGGCTGAGAGCACAGGCTCTGGAACGCACAGCAGGCGCCAGGCCTTAGCTTCCCCATCTGCCAGGTGAGCGAACCCCAGAGGTGTTGTCTGGATTCAAAGAGATGACCCTTGTGGGAGGCTGAGCCCCGGCCTGGCATTTTCTCCTGCAGAAGCTATCCTCGTATTTTCCTGTCTCTTCGCTGGGGGTGCTGCAGGAGGACTCTTCCAACATCGTGGATCTGCTGCAGGATGCCTTCAACGTGAGGGCTCTGGAGTCTGAGCCTTTCTGGGGCGGGGCTGGAGAGAAGGCTGAATGGCAGAGGACTGGGAAATAGGACAGGAGGGAGGAAGGGTCTTCTGCAGTCCTTGAGGAGCGCCCCCTGGGCCTGGCCCCAGGTTCCTGCAGACTCTTCTCCCTTGACCCCCACCCCCACCCCCGACCCCCGCCAGCACCCCAGGCCTCCGTGTAGGTGGGAGTGCAGCACAGACAGGCCAGGCCAGGGTGGGTGAGCCCGGGGTACCCCCAGGCCATTGATCGCCTGCTCTCTTTTAGCGTATCCGCTCCAACCTGGACATCCGGGCCCTGGAAAGCCCCCGAGGCCTGCGGACAGAGGTCACCTCCAGGATGTTCCAGAAGACGAACACTGGGTCCTTTCTCATCCGGCGGGGGGAAGTGGTACGCCTCCGTGGGGGTCCCGGGGCAGGGGAGGACGGGCACAGTGCCCTGCGGGGCGGGGTCTACCTGAACAGAGGTCCAGAGCATGGCCTCCGGAGTCAGATCTTGGTTTGAAGCCCTCTGGATCAGCCCCTTGGCGTGTCCTCATCTGTAGAGTGGAGGCCAATCAGCTTGGAGCTCAGGGTTGCTAAGATGAGTGAATGGGCCAAAAGCAACCCTGGTTACTGTTGGTGCTATTGTTACCGTGGCTGTGCCTGGAGGGAGCAAGTTCGCAGCCCTGAGGAAGGGCGGGCAGGGAGCTGGGTGTCAGGGGCCAGACACATCCCTGGAGCTTGAGGGCCTAGAGACTTCAGGCACAACTGCCCCCTGGTGGTCTGTCCAGGCCTGCCTTGCCTGACAGTGGGGTCCCTGCAGGGCACATACCAAGTGCAGCTGCGGGCTATCGAGGACTTGGACGGGACTCACGTGTGCCAGTTGCCAGAAGCGGACCAGAAGGGCAACATCCATCTGAAGCCCTCCTTCTCCAATGGCCTCAAGATGGACGTGGACATCGTCTGTGACATGTGCTCCTGTGAGCTGGTATGATGCTGCCCCGCCAGGTTGCGGAGGGAGGGAGAGGCTAAGCCGACCACCCCAGGGCCCTGAGTAACACAGCAGAGCATCCTGTGGCCACAACTCCCTTTCGGGGTTCCCTGAGGGGCAGCGTCCAGCATCCCTCACCCCGCCAGCCACCCCACCATGATTTCATTCCAGCAAAAAGAGGAGCGGTCATTTCGCTGCAGCTTCAACGGGGATTTCATGTGCGGACACTGTGTGTGCAATGAGGGCTGGTGAGTGTGGGAGGGTGAAGCCAGCACCCAGGATGCCAGCAGCCCCCAGAGAAGGGGCTGGGCACACCAAGTAGGCTGCTGAGGGTGGGTTGGCAGCTGGGCATAGAAAGGGCTAGGAAAGGGGTATGTCTAGTTGGCAGGTGGATTCGGTTCAAAGCACTTTGAAATTCATGGATATGGGAATTCTCTGGTAGTCCAGTGGTTAGGACTCAGCGGTCTCACTGCTGGGGCTCCGGGTTCGATCCCTGGTCAGGGAACTAAGATCCTGCAAGCTGCATGGCCAGGCCAAAAAATAAAAAGAAATATATGGATATATAGGATTACCGCTGGAAATATGTGTAAGAATCAGGGCAGTGGTGGCCATTAGGGTGTTGTGGGTCGGACACAGGAGGGAGACGTACTTTACCCTCCATCCCTTTTGGGCCTTTAGTATCTAAGCCATGGGCACCTGTTACCTGAGCAGAAGGGGGTCATAAGAGAATGTTAGTAAGAGTGAGGGCTTTTCAAGCTTCAAGACATTGAATACGTTTGTCATGACTTGAGGAAGGGATAGGAGGAGGGTCTCAGGGGACTGAGGTTTGAGTCTCAGCTCAGCCCCTGCTGTCTACGTAACTCAGACCCACAGGGGCCCACTTAGAGCCTCAGTTTCCTCATCTGTAAAATGGGATGGTGAAAGCCTTCCTGCTGTGCTGTGCAGAAGTGACTGGCTTCTCCCGCAGGAGCGGCAAGACCTGTAACTGCTCCACTGGCTCCCTGAGCGACCTGGCGCCCTGCCAGCGGGAGGGTGAGGACAAGCTGTGCTCGGGGCAGGGCGAGTGCCAGTGCGGCCACTGCGTGTGCTATGGTGACGGCCGCTATGAGGGTCAATTCTGTGAATACGACAACTTCCAGTGCCCCCGTGCCTCCGGGTTCCTCTGCAACGGTGAGCTACTGGCCCAGGTGGGGTGAAGCCGAGAGGGTGGCCTGGGTGTCCAGCCCCTGCCCGCCGCCTCTGGCTCTGCCATCAGAACCCATGTTGGGAGAGCCTCGCTGGGAGTCGGGACCCCCATGTTCAGGCCCAGCCCTCCTGCAGATTCCCTGAGTGCCTCTCCTAAGTCCAGCCCCAACGTGGACCTCTCTCCTCCTCCACAAACTTGATGCCCAAGACCCCTGCCAGCATGAAATCCCCATTGTGGAATGTCCCCCTGAGGTCCTCCGGCCCGTGCCCACCCGCTTCTCCACTCTCCCATCCCACTAGAGTGGGTACCACCCAGCTCAACCTCAGTGATCGGTGGTATATGGCATGGCGATCTTTCCTCTCTCGGAAGATGCTACATCTCTAGCAGACAGGGCCTGGAGTAATGCATCCTCTGTAGCCCCACAGGGCCTAACACAGTGTGGGCCCAGGCCATGGGTACATAGCCTGGCCAGGGCTTCCGGAGCTGGGCAGGGGTCACAGAACCCACAGGGGTCATATGGAAGTACTGAATGGGTAAATGGAGGAGAATGAATGAAAATCCACTCACCAAATACTTATTAAGCCCCAACTGTATACTTGCCACGGGGCGTCAAGACCCTGCTTTTCTACCCTTTCCTCCGTTCTTGCTTTTGTCTGCCATTTCTTCTCTTCACCTGCGCACCCCAGGGTGTGCTCAGAGAAATGAAGGGAGAACCCAGGACGTCTGGAGAAAGGCAGACATTTGGCACAGGCCAAGCTGAGACAGGAGGGGAGGGAGATGCAGCCAGGAAGGAGGCAGGGCCAGACTGCAAGGGGCTTGGGTTCCAGTCCAGGATGGGTCCAGTTTTAGTGTAGTCCAAACTTTTTCTTAAAAGGCTATACATTAAATATTTTCAGCTTTGTAAGCTATATGGTCTCCGTCACAACTACCCAGCTCTGCCATTGTAGCAGAAAGCAGCTTTAGGCAATACATAGGCAAATGAGTGTGGCTCTGTTCCAATAACACTTTTGCAAAAGCAGGTGGTGAGCTGGATTTGGCCCACAGGCTGTAGTTAATCAACCCCTATTCTAGTAAGGATATTGGACTTCATCCTTTGGGCAAAAGGGAGTCACTGGTGTGTTTCTTTTTTGTGTGTGTGTGTGTGTGTTTTTAATACATTTATTTATTTTTTATTTATTTTTGGCTGCATTGGGACTTCATTGCTGCGTGCGAGCTTTCTCTAGTTGCGGTGAGCGGGGGCTACTCTTCATTGCGGTGCGTGGGCTTCTTGTAGCAGTGGCTTCTCTTGTTGCGGAGCATGGGCTCTAGGCACGTGGGGTTCAGCAGTTGTGGCATGCAGGCTCAGTAGTTGTGGCTCGTGGGCTCTAGAGCGCAGGTTCAGTAGTTGTGGCACACAGGCTTAGTTGCTCTGCAGCATGTGGTATCTTCCTGGACCAGGGCTCAAACCCGTGTCCCCTGCATTGGCAGGCGGATTCTTAACCACTGCGCCACCTGGGAAGTCCTCACTGGTGCTTTTAATTTCATTTTCTAACTCTTTATATGTTAACCTTGTATCCAGCCACCTTGCTAAACTCACTTATGAAATCTAATAACTTATTTATAGATTCTTCTTGCTATTTTGTGGCATGTTTCTGATACTTGTAAATGATGACAGTTTTTCATCTCTTAACTTTCCAAAACTTATGTTTTATTTCTTTTTCTTACCTTGTTGCATTGGCCAGGACTCATTAGAGGTTCTTAAACAGGGGAGACACATGATTGGGTTTGTGTTTTGGGGTGATCACCCCAGCTGCAGAGTGGAAGGTAGAAGGGCACAATAGAGCAGGAGAAATGGAGAGAAGGGAGTTCCAAGAAAGCGACGAAGAGATGGCTCTGCCCCTGGCTGGAGACATCCTAGCTCCCAAGGCAGCTCCAGCCAGTGGGCAGCCTGGACTGCAGGTGCAAGTGTGCCTCTCCTCTCCCCTCCCCTTCTCTGCAGACCGAGGACGCTGCTCCATGGGCCAGTGTGTGTGTGAGCCTGGCTGGACAGGCTTGAGCTGTGACTGTCCTCTCAGCAATGCCACCTGCATCGACAGCAACGGGGTAGGCCTGGGCATGAGGCAGACAGTGGGGGGCGGTAGAGGGGGCCCCAATCAAGACCACCCTCCCTCTCAGGCAGGGGTGGGGGCACAGCTGGCTCACTGGTGCCTCCTCTTGACTCAGGGTATCTGTAATGGGCGTGGCTACTGCGAGTGTGGCCGCTGCCACTGCAACCAACAGTCGCTCTACACAGACACCATCTGCGAAATCAACTACTCAGCGGTGAGGCCAGATTCACTGGGTATGGGCATGGGGACCCCAGGCACGGGGCAAGACGGACAAGAGGGGCTGAGCCTGGTGCCAGAGGAGCCGCCCGAGGGTGTGACGTGGTGGGAGCGGGCCTGGCAGGGGCCGCCGCCCAACACAGTGCCCGTCTGACCCTCTTCACCCACCCAGATCCGCCTGGGCCTCTGTGAGGACCTGCGGTCCTGTGTGCAGTGCCAGGCGTGGGGCACCGGTGAAAAGAAGGGGCACGTGTGTAAGGAGTGCAGCTTCAAGGTCAAGATGGTGGATGAGCTTAAGAAAGGTATGGGGCAGGGAGAGAGGACTAGGCAGGGGGGCTTCCGATGGGGTAGGTGGTGTCTCTCATCCGGGCAGGGCTGTGGAGCTGGGTATGGGGCTCATAATCCAAACTGAGGACATGCAGTCCAGAAAGAGGGGTTCCAGACCTGGGAGTGGTCACAGAACCCAGACAGGTCACACAGACCCAGGTAGGGGCCACACAGTCTGGCCAGGGCACCCAGACCTGGGGAGATGGCTTCTGGCTTGGGCAGGGGGCAAAGAGCTGGGTAGGGCCATGAACACGGCAAAGGCCCATAATTGGGCCGTGGGGGCTCACAGCCTCCTTTCCTCTAGGTCAGAGAAGTGTTCTAGAAGGGACTTCCCTGGCGGGCCAGTGGTTAAGACTCCGCACTCCCGCTGCAGGGGGCGTGGGTTCGATCCCTGGTCGGGGAACTATGATCCCACATGTGGCCAAAAAAAAAAGAAAAGAAAAAAGAAAAACGTTGTAGAAGCCCAGCTCCTGAGCGATGCCCAGGACGGGCACAGATTTGCAGCCTTTGACGCTCCTGGAGGGCAGCCCCCGCCTTGCCCCAGCTGTATGCACAGTTTGCCGGGAACTTGCGTTCTTCCCCAGGAAGGTGCCTCCCACCCTGTGATGGGCGGGCTGGGCCCCAGAGTAGGGCCGTGGTGAGGAGCGGCCACCCCACCAGGCCCTAAGGTGCTCCGGGGTGGGGTTGGGTGCCCTACCGACCGTCTGTGGGTGCAGCGGAGGAGGTGATGGAGTACTGCTCCTTCCGGGACGAGGAGGACGACTGTACATACAGCTACACCGTGGAGGGTGATGGCGCCCCCGGGCCCAACAGCACCGTCCTGGTGCAGAGGAGGAAGGGTGAGCTGGAGGGCCGGCCGGGGGCGTGTGGGTGGCCTGTCGGACCCCGGTGGGGGAAATGGTACCGACTTCCTCTCCTTCCTCCCTAGACTGCCCCCCCGGCACCTTCTGGTGGCTCATTCCCCTGCTCGTGTTCCTCCTGTTGCTCCCGGCACTGCTGCTCCTGCTCTGCTGGAAGTACTGTGCCTGCTGCAAGGTGGGGGCTCCCCCAGGGTCTCCCCCCGCCACCAGGGTCCCTGTAGGTGGCAGAGGCCAAGCGAACCCACATGTTCAGCCCAGCCCTGGTGCCCTCCCCACACCAGCCTCTCACCTCTGCCAACCATCAGTGGCTGGATACCTGGGAGCCCCTGCCCGGGGGTCAGCCACATGCAAAGGGTCCAAGAGCTAACAGGGAAGGAAGGGCTCTGCCCACCAGGAGCTGACAGTCTACTGGGGAGGAAAGACAGGAGACAGGAAAACATGGAGGACGGCATGGCACGGGATACTGAATTGTAGGGAGCAGAGACAACACTGCAGTAACCCCCAGCGTTGTGGGATATTAGTGTGTGTTACAGAGAAAAAGAGTTCTGTGATCAAATACATTTGAGAAAACGGTTTCTTCTCTGCAGGACTTCTCAGAGCCTTTGATCTAGTTGTATGAATAGTGAAACTATAAGGGGAAGGAATTCTGTGCTTCCCAAATGGGTTTGATCACAGAACCTTTACTTTCCAGAGTATACAGCAGGACCAGGGTCCCCTGGCACACATTTGGGGAACCCTCTGCCCCATCACCCTCTGTGTACCCACCTTGTGTGCCACACACCTAGACCCCTGCAGCTGCCTGGATATCCTGGTGTCTGGGAAGGCACCTTTGCCCCCTCTGGACCGTTGGCATGGGTGGCAGTTGGTGGCGGAAGGGGCTTACCTAGGCTGGGGTGGCTGTCTCAGCTTTCATCCTCACCCACCTTGTCTCCTAGGCCTGCCTGGCCCTTCTCCCATGCTGCAACCGAGGTACGGGCCAGCATCAGCAGGGGTGGCGGGCTTCTGCCCGCTCTTCCTTCCAGCTGGGGTGGAGGGGAAGCGGGGGCCAAGTCTGGAACAGAGGCGGGAGGCCCCGGGGTCCCACCTGCAGGGGTGTGGTGGGGAAGGTCTAGGGAGCGGCCCAGTGTGAGGACCCTGTCCCGCAGGTCACATGGTGGGCTTCAAGGAAGACCACTACATGCTGCGGGCGAACCTGATGGCCTCGGATCACCTGGACACGCCCCTGCTGCGCAGCGGGAACCTCAAGGGGCGCGACACGGTCCGCTGGAAGACCGCCAACGTGCAGCGGCCTGGCTCTGCCTCGCGTGCTGCCGGCATCAGCCCCACGGAGCTGGGTGAGGGCCAGGGCCGGGCACCGCAGGTCCTGGTGCTGCCCTTGGGGCCCGGGGCACGTTCACCACTGCTCCCAGGTCCGGGATCACACCATTCCTATTTTCTCTGGGTATTGGGGTGCAGGCACAGGCCTGGCTGCCTTCTATCCTTCCTGATGGTGCTATCAGCCTCAGGTGCTCCCCTATCCAAGCATGGCTCCTAGACGGGGCTTCTGCGGTGCCCACTGTGCAGGGGGCTGACGACACCCCTCCCTGCCTGCCCCTAGCGCCCTACGGGCTGTCCCTGCGCCTTGCCCGCCTTTGCACCGAGAACCTACTGAAGCCTGGCACCCGAGAATGTGACCAGCTGCGCCAGGAAGTGGAGGAGAACGTAAGGGCCAAAGAAACCGATCCCAGGCAGCTGGCATCTCTGGGCTGGGTGTGAGCCAGGTGGCGGGAGAGCAGAGGGAAGCAGCTGGGGAACCTGGATTTTTCCGGGCAGGAAAGAAGGGCTTCCTTGGACATGTGCCTGGCCTGGGATCATCCTGGGATCTGTTCCCTGTAAATGCTTCCAGAAGGGTGGAGGCAATGTGCGTGCCCATGGCCACACCCCCAGCCCACCCCGAGAGGTCCTCTGGGCCTGGATGGCTCTGGGTGGAGAGGCTCCCCCAGGGCCCGAGCCTCACAGCCCTTCCTTGTCTGGCAGCTGCACGAGGTGTACAGGCACATCACAGGCGCGCAGAAGCTCCAGCAGACCAAGTTCCGGTGGGTCCTGGGTGCCCGGTGTTGGGCGAGGGTGCTGCCCATATAGCCAACGCCAGGGGATCTCCCCCAAGCAGCTCGTGCCTCCACCCCAGGGACCACCTGGCTCACGTTCCCCACTTTGTCCTCCACAGGCAGCAGCCCAATGCCGGGAAAAAGTGAGTCGAAGACACACAGGTGGGGTAGTACCAGCCCCAAGTACCTGCCCCCTCTGCCCCCTCCCCCACCCCAATCTCCATCTCCATCTCCATCCCACTGGAAAGGAGGGCTGTCTGTATGTCCTTGGGTAGGACCTTCATTGAGCAAATACCAGTATGAAGCCCTCACCAAAAGCCAGCCCCCGTACTAGAACAGGAAAACCACAGGGAACCAAGCAGACCCAGTCCTTGCCCTCGTGCCGGCGATAGCCCCCTACCCAGTACCCGGGATAGCCCGGTGCCCAGCTGCAGCCCTCCTCCGACGCCAAACGCCTTGATCCTGGAGGCACCGCTGGGTGCCAAGAAGATGGTCCAGTGGGTGACACACCTCCTTCCCAGTTCCTACCCCGAGTCCCAGCCCCCCCAGGGGAAAAGTGGGGGTGGGAACAGCATGCAGAGAGGGCAGAACTGCGTACGCAGTAACAGAATACAGCTCTCACTGAGCACATCACCTTCAGTAAGAACCATTTAGACCAGCATTTTGAGTGCTTACAACGGGCCAGGCCTTGTTCTAAGGGCTTCATGTGTGTGGTTATCTTATCCAAGTAGATACCATTACTATTCCCGTTTTATACTTGAGGAAACCGAGAATCAGAGAGCTTAAGTAGCTTGCCCAAGGTTACCTAGCTGGTAAGATAGAGAGCCAGGATTTGAACCCAGGCAGTCTGGCTTCAGGGCCTATACCCTTCACATCTTTGCTGTCCTCGCTCTACTTTTGCTTCCGCAGCCCTTCCTGGCGAGGTGGGTGGGAGTAGTAGCCTCATTTCACAGATGAGGTTGCTGACGCTGCAGGGTGAGGTGGCCCACCACGCTGGGACCAGCCTGGGCCTCTAGGACTGTCTGGCTCTGATGACTGCTTTTTGCTGCCTAGAATCTTGTCCACTGATGGAGAGAGGACAGGTAGGCGGGGCGGGACAAGTGCCAGCCTCCTGGCCAGCCTGACACCTCCCCACCCAACCCCGCCCCCAGGCAGGACCACACCATTGTGGACACGGTGCTGATGGCGCCCCGCTCGGCCAAGCAGGCCCTGCTGAAGCTGACGGAGAAGCATGTGGAGCAGGGGGCCTTCCACGAGCTCAAGGTGGCCCCTGGCTACTACACCCTCACTGCAGACCAGGGTAGGTGGCCAGGCTCCCTGTGCCCCTCCCTCTCACCTCCCACCCTTGTGCGGCCCCCTGACCCCCATCTGACGGCTCCCCACCGCCCGCCCAGACGCCCGGGGCATGGTGGAGTTCCAGGAGGGTGTGGAGCTGGTGGACGTGCGGGTGCCTCTCTTCATCCGGCCTGAGGACGATGACGAGAAGCAGCTGCTGGTGGAGGCCATCGACGTGCCCGCGGGCACTGCCACCCTCGGCCGCCGCCTGGTCAACATCACCATCATCAAGGAGCAAGGTCGGTCAGGGTGGGGGGAACAAGGGGGCCAAAAGGGAGGCTCTGGGGTCCCTTGCTCCTCCTCAATCCAAGTGGAAGTGGGGCCTGGCCATGTGGCCTAGGCAAGTGACTTAACCTCTGAGCCTTGTTTTCTCCATCTGTAAAATGGGTATCAGGCTCTTGTGAGGAGTGTGTGGCTGTACATCTCTGCACAGTGCCTGGTAGTAAGCACTCAGTGTGGGAGCTTCTCTTATAATCACCAGAGGGTGCTACATCCTCCTGGAGCCATTGCACATCCCCCTCTCCTTGTTCTTCCCCTATGGCCTTTGAACTTGGGAGACTGAATGGGGCCCCCCTAGGATGGCAGGGCATCAGAGCAGGAAGGGGACTGGGGCCTCCCTCTGCCCAAGCCTATCTAGAGGGGTGAGCAATGCGTCACACCACTGTCACCCACGGTGCCTTCCCTGCTGGTTCCTCGGGGAACCTGGACTTGTTGATAACCATCTTTCCAGCGCCCGGAGGGTCTGTTCTGGTCCCTGACCCCTCCTCCCCACCTGCTCCAGGACCCCAGGACTTAGGCCTACCCAGTCTCAGCTCTCGTGTCTGGTCTTGCCCCTGCCCGGCCTCCTTTCTCTGCCCTGACCCTTCCAAGATGTTAGTTGGACACTGTTCCAGCCTTGTCAACTTTTCCTGGAAGACTTTTCCAGCCCCATCCTCTGCCCTTCCCCAGAGAGGGGTGACAAGCAGACTCCTGGAGTCTGGGCCGGGCTGGGCCAGAGGGAGGGTGGGGGCTGAGAAGGGACTGTGGCCAAGACCCCTGACCGGTGCCTGGCTCCTTGCAGCCAGTGGGATCGTGTCCTTTGAGCAGCCCGAGTACTTGGTCAGCCGCGGGGAGCATGTGGCCCGCATCCCCGTCATCCAGCGTATCCTGGACAACGGCAAGTCCCAGGTCTCCTACTGCACGCAGGACAACACAGCGCAGGGCAACCGGGTGAGTCTGCACCACGGGGTCAAGGGCACATCCCAAGGGCCCCGTGCGAGCAGGACATGGCGGCTGCCTGAGTCTCTGGATGCTGGTGGTGCCGCTGGCTGGCCTCCCAAGGACATGTCCACCTGCCAAGCCACCCTGCACTGGCACCAAAAGTGCCAGTGATGCCCTGAGTAAGGTCTCATCATGTCCAGACCATCCATGTCCCCCTCCCAACATCCCAGGATCCACCAGGACAGCCAAACTCTCCACAGAGAAATAGACACCTCCGTCTGCCCCTGTCCAGGGACTCTGGGCTTCTTGACGTGGGATCACAGACCCCATGTCCCTGGGCTGTCATTGCCGGGCAGGCTGTCTCTGGGCCGTGCCACAGGAGCAGCCCTTCAGGGCAGGGAGGGCCGTGTGGTAGGGCAGTGTCCCCTTTATCACTGGGCCCCAGTCTCCGGGAACTGCCCAATCCAGGTGGTGGGTGTGCTTGGATTGGCTTACAGGTCTGTTTGTTTTTCTAAATTTATTACCAACATTTTATTATTTTTTATTTTTTTGGCCATGCCGCATGGCTTGTGGAATCTTAGTTCCCCAACCCAGGGATCAAACCCGAACCCAGGCCCATAGCAGTGAAAGTTCAGAGTCCTAACCACTGGACCGTCAGAGAATTCCCTACTACCAACGTTTTTTTAAACTAATTTTTATTGGAGTCTAGTTGATTTACAATGCTGTGTTAGTTTCTGCTGTACAACAAAGGGAATCAGTTATACATATACATACATCCACTCTTTTTTAGATTCTATTCCCATATAGGTCATTACGGAGTATTGAGTAGAGTTCCCTGTGCTATACCGTAGGTTCTTATTAGTTATCCAGTTTACACCTATTACCAACATTTTAAAACTAAAAATATTCACATCAAAACTTCACTCAAAACGTAATAAAGTCTAGTCTCACTGGCCCACAGGCCCAGCCCACTTGGCAATCATGGGAGCAGGTGTGCACTCAGACGTTCCCGACACACACCCTATTCTTCTTTTTATCGATAGGAACAGTTCTCATTACTGCTCCAGTGCTCCCCATAAAATCTCCAAAGAGGAATTTGTATGCCCAGAACTTTTCACTGAATATTATAGAGATTCTGGCTATCCTGTTATGCTTTTATAAAGATCCTTTGGTATTGAACTTTTTTTTTTTTTTTTTTTTTTTTTTGCGGTACGCGGGCCTCTCACCGCTGTGGTCTCTCCTGTTGCGGAGCACAGGCTCCGGACGCGCAGGCTCAGCGGCCATGGCTCACGGGCCCAGGTGCTCCGCGGCATGTGGGATCCTCCCGGACCGGGGCACGAACCCGCGTCCCCTGCATCGGCAGGCGGACTCTCAACCACTGCGCCACCAGGGAAGGCCCTGAACTATTTTTAAAAACATTTTATTTCTCAACTTTTTGTTTTGAAAAGCTTCAGCCTACAGGAAGATGGAAAGACTAACAAAATTAGCACCCATTTACTCTTTACGTAGATTGACCTTGCTTTCTTTTTCTCTTTCTATATAGATGTATACATGCATGTGTGTGTGTGTGTGTGTGTGTGTATACGTATTTATAGCTCTATAACTGTAGAGAGAAAGGGAGAGAATATATATATGTATCTATAGCTCTATAACTGTAGAAAGAAAGGGAGAGAGAGTGTGTTTGGTTTACTTTTGTTGGCTGAACTATTCAAGGTAAGTTGTAGACATCACATAGACCCTAAACCCTTCTGCAGGCGCCTGCTAAGAACAAGGGCACTCTACATAACTACGACAGAATTACCTGACTTAAGAAATGTCACATTGTCCTCATAATTAATAATTAGTCCATATTCGGATCCCCCCATGTTCACATGTCCCAGTAATGTCCTCTATAGCTTTTTACCCCCGATCCAGGAACCAATCAAGGGTATGGCATTGCATTTTGTCATCATGTGTCTTTAGTCTCCTTTAATCTAGAATAATTCCCCAGCTTTGTCTTTTGTCACCTGGACATTTTTGAAGCATCCCCCCCTGAGGTCAGTTGCCTTGCAGGCAACTCCTGCTTTTCTTTCTGGGTTTTTGTAGCGTTTGAGTTTGTCCCTCTCTGCACAGCGCGGCTGGCTAGCAGTGCCTGGAATTGAATGTTAGTTTGCAGTGCCACCTAGTGGCGTCATGTGACGGGAGCTCAGGAAAGCTCTGGGGCATTGGGGAAAAAAAAAAGCTGGAGATGTTGGAAGCACCCCACCCCGGAGGCAGGGCCTGGGGGCTGTGGGATCCAGACTTCGGAGCCCCAGTGCGGGGTACAGTTCCTCCCTCCCTGTCTGGGGCCTGCAAATCTCAGCTCCCCCGGCTGAGTGCCCGCCTGTATGCGACCCTCCATGTCTGCATCCCTGTCTCTGTGCCTTGGTTCAAATGCTGGTTCCACCACAACTACCTGTGTGAACTTGGGCAAGTTTCTTCACCTCTGTGTGCCTCAGTTTCCTCATTTGTAAAATGGGGACAATAATATCTCTACCTCACACTGCCCTGAGGAGTAAACAAGCTAATATTTGTAATGCGCTTGACGTGCAAGAGGTGTTGTAGAAACATAAGCCATTCCGTGTCCACGTGGGACAGTCTGTGTGTGAGGGTCTCTGCATTATCTGTGAGGTTGGGGTGGGGTGTGTGGCCGTTACTCATTCTCCCAGGCCTGGCCTGACCCTGACCCTGACCCCTTCCCACTCCCAGGACTACATCCCCACAGAAGGCGAACTGCTATTCCAACCTGGGGAGACCTGGAAGGAGCTGCAGGTGAAGCTCCTGGAGCTGCAGGAGATGGACTCCCTCCTGCGGGGCTGCCAGACCCGCCGCTTCTACATCCAACTCAGCAACCCCAAGTTTGGGGCCCGCCTGGGCCAGCCCCAGTCTGCCACTGTTATCATTGGGGACCAAGGTAGGCAGAGTCTGGAGTCAGCTTAAGCAGGGCTGGGGGCTTCTTGACAGTCTTAGCAAGTAAAAATACAGGACGTTCAGTTAAATTTGAATCTCAGGTAAGTAACAACCACATTTGTAGTATAAGTATGTCCCATGCACTATTTGGGATGTACTTATCCGAAAAAAGTGTTTGTTGTTTATCTAAAATTCCAATTTAACTAGGTATCCTGCCTTTATCTGGCAACCCTACTCTCAATCAGAGAGGCTGGGGTCATGTGGCCACCGGCCTGCTGCTGGCTGTGAATCCCACCACTAAGGGCCTTAGCCCTTTGACTTCGGCCTTAATTCCAGCTAAAATGCAGGTGTTTCCAGAAGGGGTGAAACAGTTCTTATGGGTCCTGAGAACTGTATAGTGGGGTCTGTGAGCCCACCCGGAGAGGAGGCTTGCCGAGAAGATGGGGCAGGAGGCGGAGTCTTGGGGTCCAGGAGTGATGGAGGGCGTTGGGAGGAGCCAGATGTTCTCACGTGGGACATACCCTTGGCTGCCAAAGGGAGAGAGCAAACTCGTTCCTCCTTCTCATCCCTCCAGAGACCCTCCTGGGCACCCCCAAGTTTGGCAGGATGCCCTGTGCTTTACTAATGGGGGCACCAGCCCTCTAGAGACCCCCTTTGGCAGGTCTCAGTTGAGGGGGGTGCAGGGAAGGGGCGTTGATGTTTTAACTGGGCTTCTGGCGCCCCCTGGTGGCGACGGTGGGTTCCTGCCCCCCTCAAAAGCGGGGTGTCTCAGCTGGCTACCCTGCCCTGGTTTGACCCACTACAGATGAACTGGACGGGAACTTAATGGGCCAGACCCTATCATCACCCCTACTCCCCCGGGGTGACCTGGGTGCCCCACAGAACCCCAATGCCAAGGCCACTGGGTCCCGGAAGATCCACTTCAACTGGCTGCCCCCTCCTGGCAAGCCAACAGGGTACCGGGTAAGGTGGGGGGCAATGAGGGTGGTGGATGGGGGAGGCTGGGCACATAGTGGGGAGGTGGGCCACCGGGGGGCAGAGGGCCCTTGAGGGAGAGGAGAGGGCATGCTTGGTCTCAGTGGACAGGGGAACCCCCATCTGTGCCCCGGGGGAGAGGCAAGTTCCTGGACTGTGGCCCCACCACCCCAGAAACACCTCTGCCCTGCCCCAGCCCTGCTGTGTGAACCTGGCAGGTCACTCGGTCCTGTCTGTGCGCAAAGGGGGTAAAACAAGGGCAGGGCTCAGTGGAGGGACGATCAGCTCTGCCAGCTGCTCCCCACTGACCACTGACCAGCCCCGCCCCGGGAGCAGGTGAAGTATTGGATCCAGGGTGACTCTGAGTCCGAAGCCCACCTCCTCGACAGCAAGATGCCCTCGGTGGAGCTCACCAACCTGTACCCATACTGCGACTACGAGATGAAGGTGTGCGCCTACGGGGCGCAGGGCGAGGGCCCCTACAGCTCCCTGGTGTCCTGTCGCACTCACCCGGAAGGTGAGGCCTCGCCTTTCTGTCCATCCACCTGTCTGCCCCCCAGCTACCCTGATGCCAGCATGCCCAACCCTGTCCCCCGACCCCCTAGAACTCTGCCCCCTCTCTGCGGCTGACAGCTCTCTTCCTACATCCCCTCCCCCTCCAGCTCCCAGCGAGCCAGGGCGTCTGGCCTTCAATGTTGTCTCCTCCACCGTGACCCAGCTGAGCTGGGCTGAGCCGGCCGAGACCAACGGCGAGATCACAGCCTATGAGGTCTGCTATGGCCTGGTCAACGAGGACAGCCGTAAGGATCTGGACCTCCCCTTCTGCCCCCAGGGAGGGGCAAAGAGTGGGAGGAGATCACAGCATCCTGGGCAGTGGGTGAGCCCATGTGTCTGGCTGCCTGGGGCATCGTTAGGCTTGTGGTCAGGTTTGGGCTGAGTTGCGTTCCAAAGCCAGGCCCAGAAGCTCCCAGGGCAGGTAGGGATGGAGGGCCTGAGATTATGTATGTGCAGTGGGGTCACAGGTCCAGGGCTGCCTGCCCACGCAGGTAACTAGAATGGCTCGATTCTACACGGTTCTCTTAGGGCCGGAGTAGAGTCGACAGATTTAGCAAATAAAAGCAGAGGACGCCCTGAACTTCTAACAGACAATTTTTCTAGTACATTTCATGCAATATTGTTATCTGGCAGCCCTAGGCCAAAGCACCTGGCAGAACTGTTATTTTTCTCCCAGTCCTGGAAAGGGGAGGGACCACCCCTGCCAGTTGTCAGGATGAGAAACTATTTGAGGGAACTTGGTCCCGCCTCTCGCCTGGTGCGGGGCCCTTCTCCTTGCGCTCTCACCTCCGTTTTGGCCCATCTCAGGGATGGAGAGCTTACCACCCCCAAATAGGACCCGTGGCCCCTAAAGTGAGTCAGGCTTACCACCGCCAGGGTGGCCCAACAGGGCAGAGGGCGGCAGGATTGTTCTGGGTCTCAGGCTCCTTGCCCTTTACTAGCCTGGCTGACCAAGCACAGCCTTCTCAGGAGCTGCACCACATCCTTGGCTCATTCTGAGTTTACAACACCTGGTCCACCCATGGACCACTGTCAGGAAGTGTTTTCTGACCCAGCCTTTAATCCCAGGAATGACTGATGGTTTCAGCCCACGGCCTTAGCCTGCTGAGGCCTCCGCTGTGTCACGAACGTGAGAGGCAGGCCCGAGGGCATCAGCGACTTTGGGGTGGCCCCCTTCCCTTCTCCCCCTGGTGGACAGAGATGAGAGAGGGCGGTTAGAGACTTCCCCCGGCTGACAGCCCAACGTTAGCCCATTCTTGGAGCACAGCTGTTTACTTACCAAACAGCATCAAGGGACTTCCCTGGTGGTCCAGTGGTTAAGAATCCATGCTTCCACTGCAGGGGGCACGAGTTCGATCCCCGGGTTCGGGAATTAAGGTCCCGCAGGCCACGCGGTGGGGCAAACAAACAGCATGAAGCTTAGCAGGTGTTGTTTTTCCAGAGCCCTCCTTTGGACCCCTTGGGAACGGGGACATTTTCTGGTCTCCCAGACGTCTTCCAACATAGAGGGCCCCATCTTGTCACATGGGGGCCTAGGCACCGTAACTTGCTTAGAGCAGCCTGGGGTCTCTTCCTTCTCTCTCCCAGGGCTTGCGTCCACCCTTCTAGGTGTGGTGGAGGAGAGCTGCTTCCCCTCTGCTCTCGCCCTTAGCTCTCACAAGCCTCAGCCTGTCCTCAGGTGCAGGTTCAGGCCTGCCTCTCTCCTCCCGTCCCTGCCCAGGTGACCAGGGCAGCCGTGCATTTGGGGTTTGGTAGTGGACAGGGAGGCACAGGTGCTGAGGGCGCCCAAGCCTCTGGAGCCAGCGTCACGCAGACGCACATGGACGCAGGACCCTTTACCAATTGGTAGAGGTGACAGTGGGGCCGACTTGAGTCTAGTCTGTCTCTGCCACTTAACTTGGCAGAGGCTTCTCTAAGCCAGTCACACCCAGGTTCTCAGGGCTTGGCACGCAGCTGTGTTTCAACAGTTGCTCGCTCCCTGACTTGTTCCCCAAACTCCTGGGTGCAGTTCAGGGGCTGTGCAACAGTCCTGGAGCACCAGAGGCAGGGATGCACCAGGCCAGAAGCTGGATGACCCCTCTGAAGCACTCTCCCTGTCCCAGGACCCATCGGGCCCATGAAGAAGGTGCTGGTGGACAGCCCCAAGAAGCGGACGCTGCTCATTGAGAACCTGCGGGAGTCCCAGCCGTACCGCTACACGGTCAAGGCTCGCAACGGCGCAGGCTGGGGGCCTGAGCGGGAGGCCATCATCAACCTGGCCACCCAGCCCAAGCGGCCCATGTCCAGTGAGTGGCGGGTGGGAGGCACAGGGCAGACAGGGGCGGGCAGGAGGCCGAGGCTGGGGCCCTGGCTCACCCGCTCCCGCCCTGCAGTTCCCATCATCCCGGACATCCCCATCGTGGACGCCCAGAGTGGGGAAGACTACGAAAGCTTCCTCATGTACAGCGATGACGTGCTCCGCTCCCCGACAGGCAGCCAGAGGCCGAGCGTCTCTGAGGACACTGGTGAGTGAGCCTGGGACGCCTGCGAGGAAGGTGGGGGTCCTGGGTAGAGGGTGGGGCCGTCACTGGTGTCCAGAGAGAGCCAAGGGGCCAGTGAGCACTGGGCATGACGGTCACACCAGAAGTCCCCTCTCAGCCCCAGGCGAGCATCTACAAAGCCGATGGTTTGGCAGGCACCACACTGGCTCTGGGTACAGGGGGGACAAAGCCGACGTGGCCCCCGTGAATAGCGTGCACGTCTGTGTGTGAGGACAGGCAGAAAGACGTGTGCTTGGGGCACATGCACACAGGCTCGTGCACATGGGACTGGAAACACAGTTTTGAGACTGGAGGGCTCACCAGCAGTGCCATGGAATCAGGCCACCTCCCAGGGACAGGGCTATGTGGGAGGAGGCAGGCCTGGCTCTGGGGCCCACAAAGCAGTGTCTCCCCACACTGGCCCTGTTCCTCCTCCTTCCTTGATTCCTGTACAGTGTGACGCAAAGAGCCCTCGACTGGGACTCTTGGGGACTCAGTTTTAGCTCTGGCTCCACTGCAGGAATTCAGATGAATCACCCTCTCTGTGCCTGTTTTCTGATCTGAAATGGGATGCCAATCACACGCTACCATTAGTGAAAATCCTTCAGGATTTGTATTTTCTTCCATCCTTGCCTATACCAGGCCTCCATGGTGTCAAGCCTGGGTTTAAGGAACCCAAGCCCAAGGGTCTTGAGAGTTTTGAGGGTCTGAAGTAAAGAGCAGCTGGTGCGCAGCAGGTGCCCCAGCTCAGCTGCAGTACACGTGGCTGCCTGTGACGCACTCCGGCTGCTGGAACTGCCCCCGGGAGGCCGGCAGGGGAGAGCTCACTCCCTCCGTTATCCAGATGGGAAACTGAGGCTCAGAGCAGGGAGTCCTCACAGCTGGCGGCAGAGCCCAGGCTCTGGTCCAGGGGTCTCCCCTCGCCAGCTGCAGCCCGGGCCGCCCTCTTCCACCTCTCGGGCGAGGGCCTCGCCGGCCACCGGGCTCCCCGGCACACACCCGGATCCCAGAGAGCCAGAGGACGGGCTCACGTCACAGCGCCGCCCGCCTCCTCCCCCAGCCCCTCTGCGCAGCCGCCCGCGCCCCCCGGCGGTGCCAACGCGGCCCTTCGTTGTTCCCAAGGCGGCAGCGGCTGGAAGTTCGAGCCCCTGCTAGGGGAGGAGCTGGACCTGCGGCGCGTCACATGGCGGCTGCCCCCGGAGCTCATTCCGCGCCTGTCGGCCAGCAGCCGGCGCTCCTCCGACACCGCCGAGCCGCCCCGCGGGCCCCTGGACGACGGCGCCGCCGATGGGGGCGCGCGGGGTGCCGGCGGGGAGGGAGGTGACCGGCCTGCCCTGACCCGCACCCACCTAGGCTCGCTGGTTTGCTGCCTCTGGGCTCCAGCCAGAGCCCACCGCGGCCAGGCTGCCCGGCTGCCACCCCAGAGCCAAGGGACCCCAGGGCAGGCGCTGGGGCTCTCCCCAAAGCTAGACTGCCTCCAACCTTCCAAGTCTGTTGTGTCCAGGGCAGGCCCTGGTGCCCAAGGAGACCCCTCAGAGGCCTCAGGGGACCCAAGGGCAGGCGTTTGGGCTCTCCCCAGGGCAGGGCCAACTGCAGGGGCAGTGAGTCCCCGGCTGAGGTCAGCGGCCGTCCATAGGGGCGTCCTGCCGGGCCACAGGACCTGAGTTGCAGACGCCTAGGGGGCCCTTGTACTCCTCCAAGGACCTCTGTCCCTGGCGGGCCAAGGGAAGCCGGTTGTTTTTATGCCAAGGGCCCCCAGAGGGTAGGTAATCCAGGGAATTCCCAGGGCCGCAGCCTGCCCCGAGGGGCTCCAGGTCTGGTGCGGGCCGGTCCGGTGACCCTGCTCTACCCCACAGAGCACCTGGTGAACGGGCGGATGGACTTTGCCTTCCCGGGCAGTGCCAACTCCCTGCACAGGATGGCTGTGAGCAACGCTGCCTACAGCACCCACCTGAGCCCACACCTGCCCCACCGCGTGCTGAGCACATCCTCCACCCTCTCGCGGGACTACCACTCGCTGACCCGCCCGGAACACTCGCACTCGTCCACGCTGCCCAGGGACTACTCAACCCTCACCTCCCTCTCCTCCCAGAGTGAGTGCCCGCCACCTCCCCTGCTCTCCCCTAATCCTTCCTCTCTTCCAGCTCCTGGAGGCTTGGGCTGCTGGCCTGCCGTCCCCCTCCTGCCCATCCTCTGACGTGCACACTTCCTGCCCTCTCACTCTTGTTTTGTCCTGCCCTAGGCCTCCCTCCCATCTGGGAACATGGGAGGAGCAGGCTTCCGCTGTCCTGGGCCCTGGGGTCCTGGAGTCGGGCTCAGATGAAGGGGGTCCCCCACTCCGGGGACTCAAGAGACTCTATAATCCTGGCTGGGCAGCCAGCAGCACCCTCTTGGGGCCCAGGTAGTACAGGGGTGGCCATCCTGTGCCTCCACAGCTGTCCTGCACCATCTGTCACCCATCCACCCACCGCCGCCGCTGCCCGTGCCACCTGACCCTCCATTCCATCCACATCAGCGCTGGTGCCTAACGCAGCTTCTGTCCTCTGGGGGTGCTGGGCTGGGGCAGGAGAGGGGCCAGGCCAGCTGAGGAGGGTGGGGGCCGGCTGACTCACGAGCTCACCCCTTCTCGGCACAGGCAGGGCCCGCACCCACGTCCTGCACAGGACATTCAGGAGGTGCTGAGTGGCCTGGACAGGGTGTTGCAGGGCGAGTGGGCCACCTGGCCAGCGGTCCATGCCGGCGCCACAGCCGAGGGCGGTCAGGGCTAGAGCTAGGACTCCTGCCCAGACACCGCCGACACCGGCTGACTGTGGCCTCCTGCCTCCAGGCTCCCGCTTGGCTGCCGGTGTGCCCGACACGCCCACCCGCCTGGTGTTCTCAGCCCTGGGACCCACGTCTCTGAAAGTGAGCTGGCGGGAGCCGCAGTGCGAGCGAGCGCTGCAGGGCTACAGCGTGGAGTACCAGCTGCTGAATGGCGGTGAGGCACGGCTGCCGCCGGGCTGACACACGGGGACACCCGACTGTCAGGAATCCACCCAAGTCCCTTGAACACTAATGCTCCCCCCACCACCCACCTTTCCGAGAGAGTCTCGCTCTTCTAAGACTCCCACTGCCTCTCCTGATGAGACCTCATCCACCTCCCTAGGCCTCTCTCCAAATCATTCCCACGGCTAGGTTTTACCTAACAAGGCCTCACCGGCCTAGGGACCCAGGGCCTCTGCTGGCCTATGAGATGTCTTTTCAGGAGTCGGGAAGTGGCACTTCCGCGGGCAGACACACTCGCGGCAGCATGCCCTGGGCCCATAAACAGCCAACATACACAGATGGGATTTCAGGTTCCACTCATCCCTTGTATAGCGTACAACCTGAACAACCCAACCGTACTATACAAGGCTGACCCCACCTGTACCCAAGCCACAGCTAATGCTGGGTGGGTGGTGGCTAGACCTTGACAGTAGCCTAGGGAAGGGGTGGGATCAGGCTGGGGATAGGAATGAGGAATGCTGCTGCTCTGCTACCTGCCTCCATCCCCACCCAGGTGAGCTGCACCAGCTTAACATCCCCAACCCCAGCCAGACTTCGGTGGTGCTGGAAGACCTCCTGCCCAACCACTCCTACGTGTTCCGCGTGCGGGCCCAGAGCCAGGAAGGCTGGGGCCCAGAGCGCGAGGGTGTCATCACTATCGAGTCACAGGTGCACCCACAGAGCCCTCTCTGCCCCCTACCGGGTGAGTTACCCCCCCACCCTGACAGTGGTCCCCCCATCTTGTACCCACAAACCCACCGACACCCTTCCTCTGCTGTCCCCAGGCTCTGCCTTCACTTTGAGCACGCCCAACGCCCCGGGCCCGCTGGTGTTCACCGCCCTGAGCCCGGACTCTCTGCAGTTGAGCTGGGAGCGGCCGCGCAGGCCTGATGGCGACATCCTCGGCTACCTGGTGACTTGTGAGATGGCCCACGGAGGAGGTGCTGCCCGCCCCAGGGTCAGGGGGACCAGGGGAAGGGTGGAGAGGGAGCCACCGAGGCTAAAGGCATCTTCCCTGCCCAGAGCCAGCCACCACGTTCCTGGTGGATGGCGACAGCCCCGAGAGCCGGCTGACGGTGCCAGGCCTCAGCGAGAACGTGCCCTACAAGTTCAAGGTGCAGGCCAAGACCACCCAAGGTTTCGGGCCGGAGCGTGAAGGCATCATCACCATCGAGTCCCAGGCTGGAGGTAGGCTGCTTCACCCCTTCTCTGGCCACACCTTCTGGCACCACGCTCTGACTGGCCCCTCTGCCCACTCCAGGCCCCTTCCCACAGCTGGGCAGCCACTCGGGGCTCTTCCAGCACCCAATGCCAGGAGAGTACAGCATCACCACCACCCACTCCAGCACCACTGAGCCCGTCCTACTGGGTGAGTTGCCCGGCGGGGGCTCCTGGCTCTCCCGGGGGAGCACAGCGCCAACAGAGGAAAGGGGGTTGGGGACCCAGGTGGACCCTTCAACACCTCTTCCCCTACAGACGGATTGACCCTGGGGTCCCCGCACTTGGAAGCCCATGGCTCCCTCACCCGGCAAGTGACACAGGAGTTTGTGAGCCGGACACTGACCACCAGTGGAACCCTCAGCACCCACATGGACCAACAGTTCTTTCAGACCTGAGCCCCCGACCCCCACCTCCTCTCCCTGGCGCTGCCTCAGCTACTCCATCCTTGGACCCCTGGCGACCAGCCCACCCGCATGCTGATCACAGGGCTGGTGCCTCTGGCCACAGAGCAGGGGGTAGGTGTCCTCTGGGAGGCACGAAGTGGTCCCGGAAGGCCCTTCAGCTGCCCTCCTACCCTGGGCCCAAGCCCATTTGTAACCAAAGAGCTAGGACCAGCATGACAAGGTTCCAGCTTTGTTCTGCACTTAATAAAAGATTTTGCTACTGCTGAGCTCTGCCCTGTCCATGTTTCTGGGGCCTGCCCAGAGCAGGGGAGCAGTTCTTATACACACCTTTCTCTGATGCCCAAGCACACATCCACCTCTGGAGACAGGCAGGTATCAGAGCCAGAGGTAATACAAGTTTATTGAGCACCCAGGTTGGAGGGCAGGCCTGCCATGGGCCGGCCTGGGAGGGCCTCACAGGCACAGCACCTGGGCGCCGTCGGCCGCCTGGGAAAGGTAGAAGGTGGCGGTCCCGCTGTACTGCCCCTGTAGGAGGGACGGGTGGGGTGGGGTCTGAGCACAGCACGGCCCTAGGAACCCATCTCTCCTGCTCCCCCCAGTCTCTGGCACCTACCCACCTGGATGTGCTGCATCACTAGGGAAGCGGCAGAGGCCTCCAGCAGGGTCACCGTGCAGCCACCAAAGCCACCGCCTGTCATGCGGCTGCCATAAACCCCGGGCGCAGAGAGCGCAGCCTCCACCAGCTGATCCAGCTCGGGGCAGCTCACCTCATAGTCATCCCTGCAGAGAGGACATGGGGGGAGGCGGGAGGCCTTGAACCAACCCTATCCGGCACAGGGGACAGCCTGTGACCAGGAGGTGCTGGGCACCCGGGGATCTCACCTGAGCGAGTTGTGACTCTCCACCATGAGGCGGCCGAAGGCTCTGTAGTCGCCACGGCTCAGGGCGGCTGCTGCCTGGGCTGTGCGCTGGATCTCGCCCACCACGTGCCGCGCCCGCCGGAAGGCCTCCCCGCTCATCAGCTCCCTGCCAGCTGGGGCGGAAAAGGAGTCAGCAGACCCACCATCCACCGCCTCTGGGCCCCTGTGGACGTGGAGGAGGGGCACGATGGCTCCAGGGCGCTGGCTGGGGGGGGGCGGGGGCATCTCCAGTCTGAGACCTGGTTCTGACCAAGCTGTGGGTAGAACCTCGGGTTGGTGACCAAGGTTTCAGAGCCTCCCCTCCTCGATTAGAAAAGGGGACACCCGCCTCATTTGGCGCACAGGGAAGGCTGAGCAGACACATGGAGTGCCCCCAGCAGGGCGCCTGGCACACAGTGGGGGCTCGATAAACAGCAGTTTGAGCCCCAGACTCAGTGCTTCCATGGTGCGTGGGACACAGTGCTGCCTTCAAGAGGCCAAGACAGAACAGGAAGGAAAAGTCCTGCTGGTGTTTTTGCTGGAGTTAACAGCGAACCCTCCGAGGGCCAGGGCTCCGGAGATGGGATACAGACCTGGTCTCCCTGGGGCACCCCAGGGAACCAGCAAGCTGTCCCACTAACGCTGAAGCCGGCATAGCAAGCTGAGTCGCTAATGGCAGCCCCGAGCGCTTAGGACTTTACAACTTGACTCTGGGCGCCAGAGAGGTTTTGGGAACAGGGGAGGCGTGGAGCTGAGCTCTAGTTGACGAAAGTGACTGCCTTGCGCAGGGGGCCCTGCTGGGAGAAGCCAGCGCCGGGAGATGGCAGCTGTTAAAACAGTCAGAGACCAAGAGAGGCCGGGTGTGGGGAGGAAGGAAAGGCGGGCAGGGAGGACTCAGTGTCCTGAAGTTTCAGACAGCAGCGACAAGGGTGAGGAAATAACAGAAAAGGGGAAGTCAAAAGGAGAGGCGTCCAGGGGCTTCCCTGGTGGCGCAGTGGTTGAGAGTCCGCCTGCCAATGCAGGGGACACAGGTTCAAGCCCTGGTCCTGGAAGGTCCCACATGCCGCGGAGCAACTAAGCCCACGCACCACAATTACTGAGCCTGCGCTCTAGAGCCCGCGAGCCACAACTACTGAGCCTGCACTCCTAGAGACCGTGAGTCACAACTACTGAAGCCCGCATACCTAGATCCTGTGCACCACAACAAGAGACGCCACCGCAGTGAGAAGCCCGAGCACCACAATGAATAGTAGCCCCCACTCACCACAACTGGAGAAAACCTGCGTGCAGCGACGAAGACCCAATGCAGCCAAAAATAAAAACAAACAAACAAACAAAAAAAACAACCCATCACAGGGACTTCCCTGGCGGCGCAGTGGTTAAGAATCCACCTGCCAATGCAGGGGACAAGGGTTTGAGCCCTGGTCCAGGAAGATCCCACATGCCGTGGAGCAACTAAGCCCATGCATCACAACTACTGAGCCTGTGCTCTAGAGCCCGCAAGCCACAATTACTGAGCCTGCACGCCACAACTACTGAAGCCCACACACCTAGAGCCCGTGCTCCACAACGAGAAGCCACCGCAATGAGAAGTACGCACACCGCAACAAAGAGTAGCCCCCGCTCGTCACAACTAGAGAAAGCCTGTGTGCAGCAACAAAGACCCAACGCAGCCAAAAATAAATAAATTTATATAAAAAAAATCCATCACAGTGTTAGGTACGATTACCAGGAAATGGTTAAGTAAATTACAGTGCACCTAGATGCTGAAATGCTATGTAGCTTTAAAAAGCCATGTTGATGACAGGCCTTTCATGACATAGAGAAGGGCTCTGAGATAATGTTAAGTAAAAAAAAAAAAAGGGCAGGTGGCAACACTGCGTATACTCAACCTTGAGAATACAGATGTTGAAACTAACATAACATTGTAAGTCAGGGATATTTCAATTAAAAATTTTAAAACTGGGACTTCCCTGGTGGTACAGTGGTTAAGAATCCACCTGCCAATGCAAGGGACACGGGTTCGAGCCCTGGTCCGGGAAGATCCCACATGCCGCAGAGCAACTAAGTCCGTGCGCCACAACTACTGAGCCTGCGCTCTAGAGCCTGCGAGCCACAACTACTGAAGTCCACGTGCCACAGCTACTGAAGCCTGCACACCTAGAGCCCGCGCTCCACAAGATAAGCCACCGCAATGAGAAGTACGCACACCACAACGAAGAGTAGCTCCCGCTCGCCACAACTACTGAAGCCCATGCACAGCAACGAAGACCCAATGCAGGACTTTCCTGGTGGCACAGTGGTTGAGAGTCCGCCTGCCGATGCAGGGGACACAGGTTCATGCCCCGGTCCGGGAAGATCCCACATGCGGCGGAGCGGCTGTGCCCGTGAGCCATGGCCGCTGAGCCTGCGCGTCCAGAGTCTGTTGCTCCGCAACGGGAGAGGCCACAACAGTGAGAGGCCCGCATACCACACACACACAAAAAATGCAGCCAAAAAGAAAAAAAAAAATGCTAATAGTGGCTATCTCTGGGTAGTGATCTTATAGCTTATTATTTTCTTCTTTGTACTTTTTTTTTTTTTGGCTGCGTCTTCATTGCTGCACACGGGCTTTCTCTAGTTGTGGCGAGCAGGGGCTACTCTTCATTGTGGTGTGCGGGCTCCTCATGGTGGCTTCTCTTGTTGCGGAGCACGGGCTCTGGGCACTCAGGCTTCAGTAGTTGTGGCACATGGGCTCTAGAGCGCAGGCTCAGTAGTTGTGGCTCACAGGCTTAGCTGCTCTGCGGCATGTGGGATCTTCCCGGACCAGGGCTCGAACCCGTGTCCCCTGCATTGGCAGGCGGATTCTTAACCACTGCACCACCAGGAAAGTCCTCTTCTTTGTACTTTTCTGTATTTTCCATGGTGGATACTTAATCCTCACATAAGAAAAAACAATATGGAGATTTCAAGCAGTCCTAAGTCAGCAGTGTTGGGGGAGTGGGCAGAGCTTGGCAGAGGTCCCTGGAGGTGAGGGGATGTACATCCGGGTCAAAGCCACAGCGAGAGCCCAGCAGCCCCCCTCACCCCAGGGTGCCCAGCCACCTCCAGGACACAGCGCACCCAGCCAGCTCTCACCCTCCAGCTCCTCCAGCTGCACCTCACGAAGGCTCTCCTTGCCCAGCGCCCGGGCCACTTCTTCACACTGGCGCCGCCGCAGGGGATACTCGCTGGAGCCCAATGAGTGGCGGATGTTGGAGTTGGTGATGAGCACAGCCAGCTTGGGATCCAACAACGGCACCAGGCTTGTCTCCAGGGACCTGGGATGGAGATGGAGCCAGGAAGATGACAAGGCCAAGTGTCTGTTTGCCGCACATGTTTCATCCAGGAGCTCTCCTACGAGGTGGGAGGGGACAAGGGGAGCCCCTGACCTGCAGTCAATGAGCAGCGCGTGGCCTTTCTGCCCCAGCAGTGCGATGAGCTGGTCCATGATGCCACAGGGCACCCCTGCAAAGCTGTGCTCAGCCCGCTGACACACCTGGGCCCGGGCGGCTATTGTCCCCGAGTCTGCAGCACAGGGCAAGGTGGGAAGGCTGGGGCCCAGGAGGGGGCACTAGGGGTGGGAGGGTGGGAGCAGCCCCCAGTGTGTCCAGTGATACTCCAGGGAGATTCCCCACCCACTCCCCCAAAGCCACAATTGGGGTAGGAAGCTCTGATCACAGGACCTCAGGGAAGGAGGGCTGCGTTGGGAGCTGGTGTCTAGGAGGTACCTGGGCAGAGCTGCTGCAGGAAGGTATACGTGGCCACTTCCAGGGATGCTGAGCTGGACAGCCCACCCCCCAGGGGCACTGAGCTGACCACCACTGCACTGAAGCCAGGGAGGGGGGCAGCTGCAGGAGAAAGAATGGATGACGGTAAGACGGGCCATCTGGGAGGATGAGCACAAGAAGGGCATGTATCCTGGTACAAAGGAGGCAACCGCCTGGCAGCTTCCGGGGAAATGTGTCTCAACTGTCAGAGGCCACCGACCTGTGGGGCCAAGGGGTCCGCCGCCCTGCATCCTCCTACCCTGACGTTCCTGGGACACAGACTCCTAGTTCTCCTGGTTCAGGGCTCTGGAGACCAACGGGCTGGGGTTTGAACCCTGGCTCCTCCAATCATGTCATGGGCAACCCAGGGCAAGTTCTAGAACCTCTGGGGGCATCAGTCCCCTCACCTGTACAATGGGGATGCTCCACGCTGCATGCCTACCCCACAGTGGATTAGATGAGCTAATGAGCTTCGTGGCTGAGAGACAGGAATTTGACCCAGGCCTGGGCCCCATACCTGGGTAGTGCTGAATCACTCCCTTGACGTAGTTGGCCCAGTGGGGGGCCCCAGGCTCCAGT